TTACTAATCAACTCTAGGGAGAGAGGGTGTAAAAATTATATAAAAACAAATGCAAACATTTTATCAATTCTTTTTGATATTGATATTAATTATGGTGACAATTTAAAAAATAAAAAAAAACATTTATTTATTTTTCACTTTTTTGTAGAATGTGATTTTTTTTAATATAATAAAATTATTTGCTTGTATTTTTGTTTAATTTTATTAATAATAACTTTTGATATATAATATATGAACTAAAAACCTTAAAAAACCTAAAAACCTACTTATATATTTTTTAATTCTTAGGTTTTTCAAACCCTGAACTAAATAGTCCTAAAATATATAAATATGGTTTATTTTGTTTTTTTTTATTATTTATTTACAGGTGAGAACTTACAATCCTGAAGTAAGAATTCCTGTAGATGTGCCAAATTTTCAGGCTGTAAAACAAAGAAAGGTTCTTCAGGAAATAGATTTATTGGCCGTTCCAGGACCTTCTAGGCCACTTCAGTGTTCTTCTCCTCTTCCAGGTATTTCCTCAACTCTAAAGAGTTCAGATGAGGATACTCCTCGAAAAAAAATTCTGAAGAGGAAAATTACTGAACTGCAGGAGGAAAATGTTTTGAAAAGTAATAAAATAAGAAAAGTACAGAAGGTAACATGGCAGCAAAAAAAAACTTATGTCTTTGCAATCTATGGTTTGTGAGTTAAAACAAAACAATTTATTATTAGAACAACATGAAAATGTCATGATAGAACATTTTGGAAAAAATATGGAAATAGTTGAACAAATATTTAAAAAAACTCAAAAAAAGAGTGTTAAAATAATATATGAACATTCAGTTAGAACTTTTGCAGTTACATTACACTTTTTTTCTCCAAAAGCTTATAATTATGTGAGACAAAGTTTTTACAATAGTTTACCACATCCAAAAACTTTGTCAAAGTGGTACTGTTCAGTAGATGCCAAGCCAGGTTTTACATCTGAAACATTGGATTTTTTAAAATTAAAAGTTGCCAATTCAAACAAAAACTTGGTTTGTTCCCTAGTATTTGATGAAATGTTGATTAGACAGCACTCAGAATTTGTAGGTAATAAATATTATGGATATGTAGATTGTGGTAATGGGCTTTGTGGTCATAGTATAGATTTAGCAAAGGAAGTATTAGTTTTTATGCTTGTTTGTATAAATAAATCCTGGAAAATACCTTTGGGATATTTTTTCATTGCAGGAATTGGCAGTGAACAGAAGGTATCCTTGACTAGATAGGCACTTACATTATTGAAAGACATTGGAATTAACGTAAGCAATGTTACTTTCGACGGGTGTGCCGCAAATTTTAGTATGTGTTCATTACTGGATTGTAAATTTGATAAATTTAATGTAAGATCGGATTTTCAGTTTGACAATAAAAAATACTTTTTGTTACCAGATCCACCACACATGATCAAATTAATTAGAAATTGTTTTGGTGATAAACAAAAATTTATAACTTCTAAAGGAGATATTGTTGATTTTGATTTTATAAGAAAATTAAATCGATTGCAAGAAAATGAGGGGCTTCATTTAGGTAATAAATTAAGGAAACAACACGTACATGTTTTTAAACAAAAAATGAAAGTCAGATTAGCGACGCAATTACTTAGCCAATCTGTGTCAGATTCCCTCATGTATTGTAAAAATCAGCTTAGATTATAAGAATTTGAAAAATGTGATGCAACTTCCGAATTTATTTTAATAATTAATAATGCATTTGATATTTTAAATTCCCATACACTCTCACAGTTTGGTTACAAGCAGGCAGTATGCTCGTATAATGTTAAAGATATTAAAAGTTTTTATGTTAAATTTTATAATATTCTGGGCTTAAAATGTATTGATGGAGAATCAGTTTTAGATTCTATAAGAAAATCTGGTTTTGTTGGAATCTTAATGGGACTAAAAGCTGTATTAGGTATGTATGATAAATATGTTGATAAAGGAATTCTGAAATTCATTCCTACCTATAAGTTAAATCAGGATCATTTAGAATTATTTTTTGGTGCTATAAGATCCCAAGGGGGTTACAATAACAACCCAACATGTAGACAGTTTACCGCAGCGTACAACAAATTTTTAATTCACGCTGAGTTAAGGAATGGTGGAGCCGGAAACTGTGTACCGTTAGATGATATTAACATTCTCAACATTTCTTCAAACAAAAAACCACCAGAACAGATTATAAATGAATCTGTGGTGGATCGTATAGATTTCAAACCAAATTTTTAAATGACCATGATTATGCCTTTCAAAACGATTCTTTATCGCCATATAGTTTGGAAGTTATCACCTACATTGCTGGTTTTGTCAGTTTTAAATTAGTTAAAACTTTGCAATGTGAACACTGTTTATCTGAATTATATGGTGCTAAAGAAAACTTTTTAACTTCATTAATTCATTAGAAATCTAGAAAAGCATTAAGTTACCCTAGCTGGGATGTTGTAAATATATGTACCAAATCTGAAAAGTTTTTAAGAGAGGAGCAGATCAAAGATGGATTTAAAATTAATAAAGAAATTATATCCATTAAAGTTCTTAATTATTTTGCACAACAAAATTTATTTTCTACTATGAAATTTCATGATCGAACTCCATTAGAAAGTCATAAAGTTTTGTTAATTAAAAGTATTATTAACACCTATTTAAATACAAGAATTCATTTTATTTGCAAAGATGCAGTCAATACAGAAAAAAATAGAAATACGTATACTAAATTAATTTTATTTAAAGGTCAATAATTCTGCGGTTTGATGGAAAAACCATGTCCATTTTTTGTTATTTTAACATGTATGTATTTTATGCACTTCTGTACAATATGTGAATACCGTTCCACTATAAATATGTACTGTGCATGTTCAAAACCAGATGTGACATATTTTCAGTCTAGTGCCGTTGTAACAGACAAATTATACTGATCGAACGATAATTTTTCCAAATCGTCAAACAGTTTTAGTTTCCTTCACATCCATGAATTGTAAGATTGTCGAGTACCGTGAATTTAATTCGTTAAACAAAAGCCGAGCTGATATTTTATCATAGTATAACACGAAAAGCCTTATTGTATAATATGTAAAAAGTTTTCATTAATGGAAAAAATAGTGCATTTTTAGTTTAATCCATATGCAAATAATTTCCCGTCCAAGAATAAATTATAGTTTCACCAGTCCAGGGTATTTCTGATGTTTCTTCCAATTGCAGAAAATTAAAGTCTGTCATTAGACACCCCATACGTAACATGATTAAGCCCCAACGTATTGTTTTGAATATTATAAAAAGAAATTCTTGTTTAACTAATCTGTTTTTTTTGTATTTCTTGACGCAGCGCAGATAACGTTGTATAATTTCATTTCACACGTACTAAATACATTTACTACAGTCCGAAGCACTTTGCTCTAGAATAGTCGCAAAATGTCAATGTCCCAGCTGCTTGCTGTCCCCACAGAGCTCAGTACCGTATATCCAGGTTTGTTTCAATAAATGTAATTTCGTATATTAGAAGTTTATTGTATGAATTTTAAACACTCCATATAATTTATTACAAAGTTATTTACAAAAATGAACACAAATAGTTAGAATTAATGATATCGTAAGTAAGGAAATAATAGTTGCATATCGCATACCTCAAGATACTGTCTTAGGTCCTATGTTGTTTAATTTTATTTTAAATAATTTATCATTTATATACAGAAGGAACTATTGTAAGTTTTTAAGATGACACAGCTATCCTGTAAAATGCAGAGAACTCAAATTGATTAAAATTATTAATGGAAACAGATCTTATAAAAATTGTCGAATGGTTCAATTATAAAAACTTACAAACCTTTGATAAAACTTATGTTGTTCCATTATGCAGTTACAAAAATATGCCCTCTTCCTACAGAAACATAACTAAAGGTAACGTTCAGCAGTTTCATATAAGTATTACAAATTATATCAAATACCTTGGAGTACCTACAAATTAACTCTCACCTTAACTGGACTAAGCATATAAATAATGCGTTGCCTTTTACCAAAATTTAAATTCCTGCGATCAAATTTGAATGTACATTTAAAAATAATCTATTTTGTACTCACAGAATCGCTATTACTTTATAGGATCCTTTCATGCAAAGGTGTTATACCAACTTATGTAAAATTTAAGTCCTGCAAAAAATATTACTAATAATATGTAATAAAATGATCAGATCTTCTCTTCGATATTAGGAAGTTTTTTAAGTACTCAGGCTTGCAAAATATAATTCCAAACACAAATACATGCCTACGGCGTTGTGCTCAAATTTCGTCTTGGTGCGATATGGCCATCACATCCACTTTTGTTGAACAAACGTACTATTTTTTAACGCATCTACAAAACATATTTAATTTTCAAACCTTAATAAACACGACATACTGTTTTTGTAAAATTTATACCATTTGTAAAATTTAAATTAATAAAAATATTGTCATAATAAAGACGTAAAAAAAGTAAAAATTTCTTTTATTAATATATTATTGCTTTGATTTTTCAAAAATGAAATCCCTCTATAATTTATACCGAAAACATTTTCCTATATTTATCCCACCCAACATGCAATTTTAAAGTAAAATTAATTCACATAATGATGATTAATTAAAAAAAAAATGCGAGAAATCCGTAAATTTAGATAATATGCAAATAAGAATTTATTATTCTCTTTTCTACGCACCCTTATGACAGTACGTCACTGGTAGACCGGAAACACTTGTCGCCATATTCGTCTAGTTCACTGTCAAAATTAGATACCATCGCGATTCCAAAGTCGTTTAGGATTCCTCCTTCCTGACTAATCTACGGGTTGCATCTCCGTTTGATGCACGACTGCATGTTTCGCGCTTGGCGGTTGGCGTTCGGTTATATTCGTGACTCCACCGGGTGTGACGGATAGACATAAGTCGAAAACTTTACATTTGCCGCGTTCTGGCCGCGTTTGAGTTCGAGAATCCACATCGGATGCATTTTTGGTATCATCTTATAATTTAGTGAAATTACTTTATATGTGAAAAGTGAAACTCAAAATGTCTTCTGCAATTTTAAATGATAATGACAATCTGAGTGATATTGATCCGAATCTTTTCAATTTAATCTTATTAAATGGACCTACTGAAGAACATTTAAGAGCTGTAAATGAACTTTTATCTACATCGAAAACAAGTGGGAAAGGTTTAGAATTATTAAATTATCTTCTCAATTATTGTACAATTGATATGATTAGTGATTATGTAATTCTTTGGCTAGACTTTTGCTTAAAAGAATCAAGTGAAAATGAAAACTTTACAGAGAGTAAACTATTATTGCTAATTAGCAAACTTTTTGAAATATCATGTAATAACAATGACGTATCGAAAAAGATAGTTTCGGATTGTTTATCAAAAGTAGTTGATTTATGCCTTAAACAAACCAATAATTCCTATGAAAGTGTTAGCTGCACTAGATGTTCTTGCAGTAAGTATGAAGAGATTTGGAAGTTGGTTTCCAAGTGACAAACATCCGATTGAAACATATATAATTTCTTTTTTGGAAAATTCTTCGAGTTATTGTTGAAAAAGCTGCAGTAGCTTTTTTATTATTGACTGCGTATTTAGATAACAAAAAATGCTATTAAAATAAGCAATTTGAAAAAATGTATAAAATAAATACAAAAAACCGATCGAAGTTTGAAAAAAATAAATATTTAAATAATTAACCTTTAAAATTAACAAAAATTAATAATAATTATAATATTAACTTACTAAATGGCACTCCATCAATAACCCAAGCCAAGGTGTAAGGCAACGTGCTAAAGGCTAAATTGCCGCTGGGAAAGCGGTTTCGAACGTTCCTTTGGAGGCACCCGGCGAAACCCTCTTGTATTCAGCCTTGCCGGCGCATGCGGGGCTCTGCGTCGGTCGGTTTTGCTTTCCCTAGCTGTTCGTGGGATTTACATGGACAAGAAACTTAAAAACAAAAACCGGCGGGACTACACGGCCACCAAAGCTGATCAAACGGAGCCTGCCATCCGAAGCGATCAACCTCCCTCAATCTCTCAAGTGAGACAACCTCACAAGAGAAGTGGGAGAACAAAAGAAAGAGGTGAAGGAAGAAGAGAAGAGGAGCACCATCAAAAATAAATATAAGTGGAAGCTACCTTCCCTACCTCCACTGGGACAACCTGGTGGAAGGGACGACCCACTGAGGTATGGACTCAGTGGGGCAGGGGTTTGGTGGTATCTTCGCTACCTTGATCAGGGCATGACACCGGAGGAAGCGAAAAAGAAAGCCGTGGAGCACAACTCTCAGGGAGAGGGAAGTAAAACCAATCCTAAGGATCTGAAAAGAAAGCGGGACGGGAATAACAACACACCACCGCAAAGGAAAGAAAAGGAAAATGGCCGATACCTTTGCTTCTGGCAGTTATGTGACTCTCGTCAAGACGGAGCGGGTCGCGATTCTACCTAAAGGGTTCTCTCAGACCATCCTCAGTGCGAACGAACAGACCCTGATGGAAGAATCCAAAGTAAAGATAATGTTCGCTGGATGGGAGCATAAGCTCCAATTCGGAGGCACACACTTCTGGCCAGGAATGGTCTTAATCGACTGTGAAACCCCACAGTCAGCAAAATGGCTCAGGGCAAAATCCCACATCTGAGCAAAAGGAAGGGAGTGGAGTTGGAGGTATGTGCGGTAGACAACATCCCAAAAGCACATACAGCCACGCTCTTTCTCCCAAGAAGTCAAAGGCAATCTGTAGAGAAGTTTCTACAGTTAATAGAAGCGCAGAATGTGGGGCTATCGACCACACTGTGGAAAATCATTAGCCAAAAAGACGAGGGCAAAGGCCAGATCCTTAGGTTAGGAATGGATGACCTATTCTGCCAAAGGATCAAGGATAATGGATGCACTATCCCCTATCGATTCGGGAAAATCCCCGTACACGGCCTTCAAAAGAAAGAGGAAATAAAGGAACTGGGAGACGTAACAAAACCAACTTCCAAAGATGAGACTGCTGTAGAGAGCATAGAGAGCCTTAACCTCTCAAATCTCTGCGTAGACTCATCTGAGGATGTAGAAATAGATGAAGAAACAGAAAAAGGGGATATGAAACACACCCTCGCCGATGGGGACGGCACCCCATCAAAGGACAGTAAAATGGCGCGCATCGACATCGCTCAAGTAAATGTCCATCAGGCCAACGGAGCCGCGGGTGTGATCTCCAGGACATTCACTAAAGATCAATTAGGGATCGTACTAATCCAGGAACCGTGGGCTTACGGGAACCAGGTAAGAGGACTTGCATGTAAGGATGCAAGAGTAATTTATCACACTAGAGATGAAGTACCCAGAACATGCATAAAGGTAAGAAATAATATTATTGTCTTTCAGAATTCATGACGCGTGATCTCGTCCCAATTCGAGCATACCTGGAATTAGGGATGAGGCGGAAAGACATAGTAATAGCTTCCAGTTACTTCGCCGGAGATGGGCCTGTACCACCCCCGGAAGTATCGAGGCTAGTGGAGTACTGCCAGAGAAGACATCTGACATTACTACTTGGATGCGACGCCAACGCGCACAGCACTGTATGGGGAAGCAACGACACCAATCACAGAGGTGAGCAACTTTTAGAATATATTTTTAATAAGAACCTTATTGTGCAAAATATTGGGAATACTCCAACATTTGTAACAAGGGCAAGAAGTGAGGTATTAGATATCACATTAATAAGCACACCGAGCATTAAAGATCTGGTTACAAACTGGAGAGTATCGAGTGAACCATCTCTATCTGATCACAAGAAAAGCGTGTTTGCGTTAGAGAGCGACATTCCTGAGACGATCCTCATGAGGAATCCGAGAAAAACAGACGGACAAATACAAGACCATTCTAAAACAAAATTTAGCACGTATCCAGACAAAACAGGGGCCCAGGCACCCACTTGCTCTGGAAAGCGATCTCAAAGAACTGAATGGGACAATACTTGAGGCATATGAATCAAGCTGCCCCATTTAAAGAAATAGAACTAGTAGGGATGCTCCTTGGTGGAACCGTCATCTGTCAAACTTACGACCCGAAGTGTGGAAACTCTATAATAGGTCCAAGCACAGCGGAGGTTGGCAGAGCTACACCTAGGCATTTACTACCTACAACAAAGAAATCAGGAAAGCTAAACGTAACAGCTTCAGAAAATTCTGCAAGTATATTAACTCTACACCTGCGGCAGCAAGACTGCACAGGGCCCTGGCAAAAGGAAGAGTTGATACAGTTATGGCATTAAAGAAACCAAATGGAAGCTTCACGGAGAGTGAGGAGGAAAGAGCTCGCCTCTTACTCGAAACTCACTTTCCTGGAAGCACACCTTTTTTAATAAGGGACACAACTAAGGTAATCAGGCCCCCAAGAGAGGCCGCAGTAGTAGCCAAACACATATGCAGCAGAAATCGGTTAAAATGGGCCGTAAACACTTTTGAACCGTTTAAATCTCCAGGTGTGGATGGAATATTTCCTGCCCTGCTTCAGCGGGCACATGAATAATTACTACCACACATAATCCGGCTATCCCGGAGCAGTCTGGATCTGGGATATATACCAGAAGCATGGAGAAGGGCCACAGTCACCTTTATTCCAAAAATAGGGAAAAAGTATACCACACATCCTAAATCCTTCCGACCAATCAGCCTCACATCCTTTGTATTAAAAACAATGGAGAAGGCTGTTGATAATTATATCAGAACGGAAGTCCTGGAGAGAGTGCCTCTCCACCATAGCCAACATGCGTACCGAGCAGGAAGATCTACATAAACTGCCCTGGTACAGTTGACTGACATAATCCAGGATGCACTGACAAATAAAGAAACGGTCGTGTATGCCTTCCTAGACATAGAAGGAGCTTTTGACAATATGCCACACGAATCTGTCAAAAGAGAAGTAGATAACATCACATCCAGATGGATAACTCAGCTGTTATCTACGAGAACTGCAGAGACACAGATAAGGCAGGACACCATCTCCATCTGCACAACCTGAGGATGTCCACAAGGAGGAGTTCTATCCCCACCTAACCGTAGACGAACTTCTATGCAGATTGACTGACCTCGGCATGCCCTGTCAAGTTTATGCCGACGACAGTCATATTTGCTAGAGGCAAGTTTGAAAATATCCTGTGTGATATAGACCAACGAGGACTAGAACATACCAAAAGATGGTATAAACCCTACAAAAACAACACTAGTAGCCTTTTCAAGGAAAAGAAAACTTAATCTCAAAACCGTTAAATTAGACAGGATAGATATAGAATGGAAAAATGAAGTCAGATATCTAGGCCTAACTCTGGACAACAAACTTCTCTGGAACACACATGAGAAGGAATTAGTAAATAAGGCCACAAAAGCCCTAATGGTATGCAGAAAAATTGCGGGTAAACATTGGGATCTAACCCAAACATACTCTGCAATGTATGTATACTGCAATAGTGAGACCAATCATTACTTACGGGGCTATAGCCTGTAGTAACAGAACTAGTTTAGCTACTACGAGAGCTAATATCTCAAAAGTACAAAGACTAGTCTGTGTTTGCATCACCGGTGCAATGAGAACCTGCCCTACGGCCGCAATGGAGGTGATCTTAAACCTCACCCGTCTACATTTGATGATAGAGAATATGGCAAAAAGGACACGATATAATGCCGCGTTTGAGAATCCACATCGGATGCATCTGAGATGTAGTAAATCTTTGATCACGTGATTCAGTATACGTAAATGTAATGGGACAGATGTGTCCGACGTGGATAAAAAAAACGTTTGATATGTAAAAAATGCATCCGATGTGGATTCTCAAACGCGGCAATAGAATGATCAGGAATGGAGTAATCAGACGAAAGTCTACTTGCTTTAAGACTAAAGATACCTGGGACATGCCCCAGGATTAAATGCTACAGAAGTACAGTTTTGTGAAAAACTTCAAAAACCACAGAGCTGGGCTGCAAGAAAGACTGGAGTCAAGAATCCATCGCGCTTGCAACCGGAATACATGCTATTCAGTGGTATACGGACGGTTCCAAAACAATAAAAGGAACTGCAATAGGAGCGTATGGGCCGAAAACCAAGCACTCCGAAAGCTTGGGAAAATACCCAAGCATCTTCCAGGCGGAAATTCACACCATCGAGAAGTGCATCCAGTTTAACATCGATAGAAAATATCATAGAAAAGAGATTATCATCATGTCCGATAGCCAAGCAGCCCAGGGCCGCCGAGAGCCAGGTCAGGCCCCAGGACAATTCTCCAGATCGAGACCCGCGACAATTGTATAAAAAATAAAAAAAAGGTCTTCAACCAAAAACTTCTCCTCCTCTACAAAAAAAAAAAGGTCTTCAACCAAAAACTTCTCCTCTTCTTATTGAATCTCTCTAAAAAACAAAAGGTCTTCAAGCAAAAACTTCCCCCTTTTTGTGCCGAACTTCTGAAAGTAACAAAAAAATCCTCGCCACAGTTGTCGGGCCGCCCTTATACCGCTGCCGGGCCCCCATTTTAGTCCCGTCTGCGCCCCCCCCCCCTCTTGTCGGCCCTGAAGCAGCCATAAAACCTCAAAAATGGACTGGAGATGCCTAGAACAATTGAATGAACTAGGCTAGAAA